GTAGTAGTAGTAATATTACTGGGTTATTTGACCAGTCGGATATGCATAAGACTTTTTGGCTAAATGTACCACAAGGGGAAAGCGTTTACTGACGCAGTCTTCCTCTTATCCCTTACTGTTCTATCATTTTTCTAGCTCTGCTAAAGGGGATGTGTGCTAATTTTACGAGGCGTCCTCTACATGCCCTCTTCTGCTGCCGGCGTTCTTAATTCCTTTTTAATCGGCGTCATAGGATGTTGACCTTTTACGATGGTCGAACAATTTGCTATTGAAAGACAGGGAAATGGATGCGCCCACTTGTATTTAACCTGTAAACCATCAGGTAGCGTGGAATAATCACGTAATATGCAAGAAGTGCTAGAATGCAGCCCGTATACAAATAGGATATTATGTGGCATACTGACAGCTCAGGTTCCCGAAAAGTAGGCAAGGCGCGATGGAAACTGGAGTGCATATACCAGAAAGAACACAGGAGACGTTGAGGGACTCACTGGTGAACTCTTGGCAGCTGCGTCACACAGCGGCGCGAAATCGGCGAACCGGGCCTGTCAGAACATTTAGCTACAGTAGATCGTATATCTGATGAAATGCGAAGATCATAATTTGAGTGGGTGATTTAACACACATTTGAGGTTGTTTATTTTGTTCATTAAGTTGAAATGCTGTTTACCAGCAAACAGTATCCTAAGCAATCACGTAGAATCCACCAGAATGACTGCTAGATTCACTTAATCGTTTGGGGGGTTTGGCAGATTTGATCAATCCACTTGACCCAATTATGAAAAACCTCGCGGCCGCTGTGGGTGGCTGCGCAAAAGCCTTCCCCTCCTGTGTGGGTTCAACTCCTTCGGCGGCCCTGAATTTTTCACAATTAGGTCAACTGGATTAAGCAAGTCTGCCAAACCCCTCCCCCCTCACAATGTCTGCAAAATCAGAAACTAAAATTGGACCTTTCACCTTGCTCTGGTAATGCGTTGAACGTTAGACTTAACTTTTTTTACTCTCAAAATATTAACTAATGGCTGTGGTGCTTGTACAGGTGGTTGGCTAATTTAAAATCATGTCTGTAGAAGAAGACCGGGGATAAAGTCTCCAAAAAACATTGCATGCATGTGATACTCCCTGGTGACCTAGACGCTTCCGACTGCGTGTACTAAGCTGGAGGCGGAGGTTCGTTAAACAACTCAAAACACGTGATGCCCCAGTTGCGCAAACCTAATAAATCCCTCTCGCGCCTAGATGATGACTCCTATTCCCTCCACCGCAGAGTAATTTATGGTTTAGTTTGAAACTCAGCAGGTGTATTAATTTGTTCAAATGGGGTCTATCATCGTCAGTAGCGGTGTCTTTAAGAGG